ATATTACACCATTAATTGTTTAACCCCGGACAGCTAGCAAACTGACTGCAATTTCATTGCCGACCTTCCACCTACGGCCGCCGGGGAAAAAAATTCTCCACCCCCAACATCTTATCCACTACCATCCAGGTCACAGTCACTGCCCGGAACCCCAACAACCACGTTGTCATCTACAAATTTACTACGACAGGCTCAAGGCATACGCTACATACCACGACCAACAAATCACATGCTACTGTGGACCGATTCCGTCTCTCTACTTTCTCATCCTTCAACGTATTGTTCAAAAGAAATAAGATAGATATGGTAATATAATCAAGCTAGCTCCAGGTTGAATTTAATTACAAAAATACTCAGTTGTACAAAGTACACGGTACATCTGTATAATATCATTCTACAATATGGTATAATTTGCCTTATACATGGGGGGTCATAAAGTTCGACTCATGTCTAAATCTATTTAGTATCGTCACCGCCTAGAAATGGAAGTAAAATAATAGTCTGGCTCGTGTTCTATTTATTATTCAAATAAAATATGAATGAGCATACAAGGTAGAAAAAGAAATAATAAAATTCTATAATGCAACACCTAATCGTCCACTAAGACTGATGACATGAAAAAGTTTTTACCCAAAATTGCATCTTCTCGTAAATTTGAAAAAGTTATTTATATATATATTCTAAATATGAAGAGGGGAGACGAATACAAATATGAAGAGGGGAGACGAATACAAATTCTTTTTCGTAAATTATTTTTCATTTTTATTTAAAATCAAACCAAACCAAGCCCAAGCATTTGGTTTGAACATATTGTTATCAAATCTTTTACTTCGGTGAATTCAGCTATACCAAAGTACCAATTTGTATTTAATTTAATTCATATGAATTGAATCAAACTATTTTAACCAGCCCTACAATGAATCAACCTTTAAACTTGATGAGTCTAGCTTAAACATGTAGTAATTGTAGACCTGAAAACTCTGTTTGACGGTTATATTAAAGGGGGATTTACCCAAATAGGAGTAACTAGATACTTAATTGTCAAAATAGGACTAAAGTTTAAAAATTCCCCAAATAGGAGTTATTTTATGTAGTTAGACAAAAATATCCCTAAACCTTGACAAAACATAATCTCGCTGAAAACATAATCTTGCTGACAAATCGCCGGACAGACCCCAGTCGGCCGCAGACCGCTGTAGACCGCCGCAAGACGCTGCTGCTTCATCAAAACTAGCCACCTCTGCAGATCTAGTAGCTGCCATTGTAGATCCAGCCGCCGCCGCCTCAGATCTATACAGATTTGGCCGCCGCCCGCCACCAACTGCCGCCCTTGCAAATCCGGCAGCCACCTCCACATATCCGGCCACTGCGACTGCAGTTCCGACCACCATCGCCGATGTCATCGGTTTTTTAGTAGAATGCCAACATGAATCAAGAAATGCCATAATAATGACTTTTTCGAAGGAAAATAGAACGTTTTTGAAGAACAAAAATGCCTTTTTGATGGCATTTCTAGGAAAAAATTGGCAATTTTAACCACCAAAGAAGAAGATGGATATCAAACCTTCAACCAAACAAAATGCTAGAAAGAGACATACAAAGAAGATGAGAAGGAGGAAGAAGAATGTGTAACTTTACTCCGCCGCCACTGGCCGCCACCACTGGCCGCCACCACTCGCCGCCGCCACTCGTCGCCACCACTCGTCGCCGCCAGAAGGGCTCGTTGTTGCAGGTTGACAATCGAAGAAGATGAGAGGACGAGAAGATGGATGGATAATGTGTGGAGAAGGGGGAAAGGTCTGGGTGGATGATAATGCTACACGTAGGGGGTAATTTTGGAATAATGGTCCCATTTAGGGAATATAATTTCACGGCTCCTATATTTGAGCATTTGACTATTAATTTAGTCCTACGGAGGTCAATTTTTCTATATTAAATTTAGGGAGGTGAATAAATTCAGATTTTTTTGCTAGTAATATGAAACACTAATTGCTCAAGCGCTAAAGCTAGCCAAGGGATAAAGATTATTATTGATAAATTCCTCTCAAATTCATCCCGTAGATGCCTTTAAGCCAAAATCTGACCTCCCATAAGGGAAATGTCATAAGTGTGGGATGTAGTCCACTTGGACCCAGGGACGGATCCAGGATTTCGAGTCATGGGGGGCGAAATGTTTTTTGTTAGTGTATGAGGTGAAAATTTTTCCAATAGTGTAATAGGGCGAAATAAATTTGGCTAGTGTAGCGGGGCGAATTTGTTTTGCTAGTGTAGGACTCTGTGGCTAATTTTTGTTCAAAAAAATCAATTAGTAAATACACGATGACATTTAAATCTATTATATTACATATTTACATTCTAATTTTAGACAATAAAAAAATAACTTTGACTTAATAATTGTTAGTGCTCTAGAAAATCATTTGAAAAGAAGAAAGGATATAACATTTTATCAAATTATTTTAAGGTAAAGAGTTTAAAGGGTACACAAGGACCGATGCTTTTTAAATAATTTTTGCTTTGTTTAACTACACGAATTTTATCAGAATAAAGAATCAATTTTTGAATTGCAATTTTTGTCTACGAAGGAGGGTATTCATGGATCACGATGAGTTTTCTTAGTATTACAATAGTATGTATGAGATTATTAGTTTTAGAATAATATGATACGTAGTATTGTTAATTCATGTATATATGGTGCATATTATATTTATATTAATGCTAAAATAAGTTAAAGTTTATTATCTATGAAACAATAGTGAAACAGTTTTTAGATGATGTAAAGTGAATCCAAAATATAAATGTTTGTTGACACTAAATTATACAATCAATTTACCTCTTACTTTGTAAAAATACATATTCCGGACCAGTTAACTTGCAAAAATCATTTGATGACCTTCCCGATTGAATTTTTGGCTGAAATTTAGTATGGATGAACTAGACTTGATGAGTATCATATACACAAAAAAATTGAGCAAAAAATACCACCGGGAAGGCTCCCAAAATTAAAGGAGGAGGCCGGACGGTGCTCTAGTCAGGAATTTCCTGACCGGAAGATTACTCTCTCTCTCTCTCTCTCTCTCTCTCTATATATATATATATATATATATATATATATATATATATATATATATATATAATGTTCTAAATGGCGCTAGGCGCTAGTCGGGCGCCAGCCCAACGCCTAGCGCCTAGCCGGGGACTAGTCGGAGACATAGAAATTGAATTTTTATCTATATTTTTGCATAAATATGATAAGTAATATTGTATTTTTGTGTGTATAAAATACATATACATATACATTAACAAACATGAAAGATAGAATTCTCACATTTAATCATACGCAGTATATGATGATAACTAATCACTTAACTTCATTATGGTATAAATATAATTAATGATAAAATTTCGGTATATATACAAACATATATAGTTTTATCTTAATTTAAAACTTCATTTCTTTATATTCATGACTAAAGTTAAAGTATGTATATCGCTTAGAAAATTAAAATTTAAAAGTAAAGTATTGTTCGGCGAATTTAGACGGTCTAGGCAGCTGATTAGGCGCTCTAGGCGGGCAACTAGGTGCCATAAGCGGTCGACTAATTCGCCTAGACGGCAAACCAATTAGTCGGAGCGTCTAGACGAAAATCGGGGCGCCCGACCACCGCCTAGCGCCTAGGTGGGGACTAGTCGGCGCCTAGAATGATTTTTAGAACTGTGTGTGTGCGCGCGCAGCGCGCAGAATGCATCATATTTTTTCAGGATTTATTTGAATGCCTTCCCGATTGAATTTTGAGCTGAAATTTGGTATGGACAAACTAGACTTGATGAGGAACATGCTCAAAAAATTTCCTAAAAAAATTCCACCTGGAAGACCCTCTGATGGGCTTGTCCGCACGGGGCTTCTCTTCAGGAGTTCCTGATGTGAACTGTGGCACTATATATATATATATATATATATATATATATATATATATATATATATATATATATAAATATATATAGGTTTTGGTTCAAATAAGAACACGATGTTATGAGAAAAATGAGAACGAATCTGGACCGTTAGATTTGTTTCAAGTGAAATTCAGTGTGCATTAGATGAAAGTGTAATGTGCATTAGGTGAAATTGAAATGTGCATCACAAAGGGTACGATAGAGTGGCATTATGTGCAGTTGAATTGTGCATTACGTGAAATTGAAATGTGCACTAGGTGAAGCTGAAATGTGCAATATAAAAAGTACGATGTGATGTTATTTTTGCACTTTTTTCCCGCACATATCAGTTTAATCTAATGCACACTTAAGTTTAAATTTTTATTTTGCACATTTCAATATCATTTAATGCACATTTCAGTTTCACCAAACGCACAATTTGGTTCCACATAATACAATCCAACGGTCCAGATTCGTTCTCATTTTTCTCCTAAGATCTGTTCTTACCGGAACCGCTCCCTATATATATATATATATATATATATATATATATATATATATATATATATATATATATATATATTCTATTCTTATATTCCTTTTAAACTTTTCGCAATTTTGAAACTCTTTAACGGTTAAGAGAGTGAACTGGACAAATTGATCGGGTTGAGGGCTGGTTTACTGTTTAGGTTACCAAATTATTGCATTGTTGTCGCATTATCGAGTGATGTACTCCGTAATGTAATACATATACTGACTGAAAACATTTTGTAAAAAGTGAAATTGAAATCTTTTATTGTACGTGTGGGTGTTGTGTAATTTAATTCTGTAAGTTTCGACTATATTTGTCATTAATCTTGTAACTTTATAAGTTACAGATTTGATCATGTAAGTAATTATAAATCTTTGTAATTTAAAATCTTTTCCATGGAAATTACACTTGATGGCCGTAAATGTCGCCGGCGTGGAATTGTGAAATAGACAGATTTTAGAGGATGAGGGTGTAATAATATACGATAGTATACGGAGTATGATGAATGATGATGGTGGGGAGAGGAGGTCTATATATAAATTGAACAGCCAGATACCATATATACAGCTGTGCATTATTAATTATTAATTATTATACTCCACTGCGTAGTAGCTACATCGATAGATCATGGCAACCAACGTGTTCGGAACGCCGGTGACAGACGCGACGGTTCGGCTGGTGTACCCGAACCTGCGGCCGGAAGAAATAACGGCGACGCTGAGAGCGCAGGTGGCGCTCCGGGACATGAACGCGAACAACCGGGCGGACAACGCCAGCACCTACGTCCACAACCTCAAGGACGCCTACGGCACCGGCACCACCACGCTCGTCACCTTCTTCAACGCCACCGGCGGCGACCTCTCCTTCGTCAGCTACCACTCCTGGGAGGGCAGCGTGTGGCGCTACCCGGTCCCCCACCTCGTCCAGAACGGCCAGTGGGGCGCCTTCCTCCACGTCCGCGACCGCCTCATGGGCCCTTCCAAGGCCGCCCTCATCTTCTCCGGCTTCAATCACGCTGGAGTTGCTTGTGATTGGTTGCTTGCTTGGAACACTCCTCGCCGTCACTTCCAGAACCGCGTAAGTAGCCAGCTTCAATTATTAGCCAACTAATCACATACATAAATGCACCCGTTATATAACAATAAAACATTCATTGGGTAAGACTTTAGTTACTGAGATGTTTTTACTTCAACTATAATCTATGTCAGATCATGTCAGACTTGAGTACTTATAAAAATATAAAGAAATCAGACCATTTCATACTAGACCAAACCAGCAAATTACAGTCCAAGTAAAAACACACTAATCCTATCAAATTGATATTTTAGAATTGAATTTCTAGATATATCAGAATCAAATCGCGGTGACTTAATTAACACTCGTTTAACACTTGTGAAAATCTTGTTAAGAGTCTATTAATTTGATTCATTTATAATATGATATGGGCGCAGGTTTATACGGAGATCCGTGCGTTGAGAGGGTTCAACTCGGTGAACTGGAATACCATAGATAATGCGATGGAAAGGAACCTCAACAATCACACCACAACTTGGAACGGATGCTTGTCCAGTATGGCATTGGGCTCAGGCAGTTCGCCGCAACTAGTGGCAAGGGTGAGCTTGGATGGTCTGAGCCAATTGATCGCTGAAACCGAGCCGGTGCCCGCGTCCCTCGATTCCAAGTACGTCGATGACGACGGCCAAGATGATGCCGAGCCCACTGATGCCGCCGCCTCCACCGCCGCTTCTTAATTCCATCTTAATCCGTTCCTGTTTCCACGGAGTGAATAAATAAATCATCAGTGTATTGCAAAATACTATAATAAAACTGGCGGCCTATGACATGGCTTCCACGTCCGTTCATCATCAGATATGTTTATGTAATCATTCCTATGAATAAAGCTTTATCCGCCCATCTACTTCTATCAATAAACACAATAAATAGGCTTCCACGATTGTCATGTCTTACAGCGATTGGCGGACACCAAAAGTTTAAATGAGAAGATGGAGTATAAATGAGAAATTGAGAATGGTTCGCACCGACTCGGATGCAATAGTGGTTTATTTCATACTAGATTGTCACTTGTGGGATGCAATTTAATATAGTAATACGATGCTGTTTATTTACATCAACAGTAACGTCAAAGAATCATTATATTATAATGTGTAAATTAGGGGTCGGCACGGTCTGGGATGGTCCGGGATTTGGTTTATTCCAATTCCGTCCCGGTTTTATAACAACGGTCCGGTTCGGTACGGGATAAGTCTTTAGCCCAATGTTGTCCCATTTAAAACGGGACCGGGACAACCCGAGAAAAACCGGGACGGTTCGGGATGTCCCATAAAATATGCATTTGTGAAATGTGATATAAAAATAAGCATAACATCAATATAAAGATGTAACCTTTTGTTTTTGCCAATTTAGCTTCCCCAAAAAGTTAAGTTAAACCTTTAATTAACTATTTTTAATTTTGTCTAGAATTTTTTTTAGAAATAATTACATGAATATGACCAAAATAAAGATGGTTTACAAAAATATGATTAGTTACTAGAGTAGTAATGAAATCATAGTAATTAATGTTAAAGTTTTGAACTTAAGCTACTACAACACCACCTTATAGTAATGAATATTTATATTTATGTAAATAAGTTTTATTTTAGTAATATTCTTGTAAAAAACCCAATTTTTGTTCCAGGTTTTCAAAATTCTGTGATAGCATTGTTATTATGTTAACGCCTAATCAGTTAACTGTTACGGAGTATTACGTAACATAAAAAGTTATTTGTGGGCCTGTGGCCACTGCTATCATCAAGCCAATTTGTCGCGGCCTATTATTATCAATATGATCATTAAGCATTTCGAATTTGAGTGCTTGCTGACATTATCTATTTCAATCTGAACCCAAAATTTATACTCGTAAGAGTTTTAACATACTTATATAATGAAAGTGCTCGGAGGCAGTGCCTATATGGAATGTAACTCGTGTGAATCCACATGTAACTTCAAGTTTATCAAGATGTAAATTACACTCATTGAAATGTAAACTGTTTTGATTTAAATGTAACTTGGGAAAAAATCTGATGTAATTTGTGATTGTAACTTAAGCCTATTCAAATGTAACTTAGGAACAAGGAGATGTAGAGCCCGTTTGGAGAACTCTGTTTTCGGCTTATCAGGCTTATCAGCCAGCTTTTTCACCAAACACGTAACTTTTACTTTCGCGCGCTGAATTGTGTAATAAGCCGAAAAAGTAAGGTTGGAGTTACTTTTCTGGCTGTATTGGCTGAAGTTACTGTAGAGGACCATTTTAGCTATTTTTACATATAATTTTTTCTTTAATTTATTAATAAAATATATTTTTAAAATATTTTTTTCTTAAATCAGCAGAATCAGCCAAAACAGCCACTCCAGCCAGAATATCATAAATTTCAGCAGAATCAGCCAAAACAGCCGATTTTGGTGCTACCAAACGGGCTCGTAACTTCTGGAATTGAACAATAAGGTTTGATTCATTAATTAACGGAAAAAGGGTCAAATATACCCATGTACAATTGTTGAACGGTCAGTTAGGCCCATATACTATAAAAAGCATCATATAGACACATTTACTATAAAAAACAATCAAATAGACCCAAATACCCGGTGGTAACCTTTAATAGCATGCCATCTTTTACTTTTTCTCTATCATATTTATTTTTATTTTTCTTTTTTACTATCATAAGGAGTATACCTTAGAGCATCTTCAATGCTAAAATATTAACGGTGCATACGTGGTATGAGAAACAACCAATAAAAAATCAATAAATATAATCTCTCTCTCCTCATTTAAAGGATCTTACATCATTTTGGTAAGTTTTTCTTCACAATGTCTAGATGTAGACATTGTGGTTGACATTGCAGACACAAACTTACCAAAAACGCATAAGACCGTTGAAAGAAGGAGATAGAAATGTCATAAAATCAATATTTTGTTTCTATCTCTCTCATGCCACATGTGCACCGTGCACATTGTAGCACTGGAGATGTTCTTATTTAATATGGGAGTAGCAGGCCACGTATATATATTGCCATCCCCCACTGGTATGCAAACAAAATTTTAGTAAAAAACTCGATGTCTAAGGGCCTGTTTGCAACAGCTTCAGCTTTTAAAAAAGTGCTTTTTTTAATGAAATGGGGAGAAGTGATTAAGGGAGTGTTTGCAATTGCTTCAAATTTAAAAAAGTGATTTTTTAAAGTGATTTTGGGAAAAGTGATTAATAGTAAAAGTTGGTAGTGTTTGAGAAAAAAGTGATTCTGGAAAAGTAAAAGTTGGTAGTGTTTGGTAAAATAAGTACTTTTTGTGTAATAGAAAAAATGAGAAGCAGTTTAAAGCACCCTTCTACCTGCTTCCAGCTTTAGCTTTTAAGTGATTAATTTAAGCAGAAGCTGTCATTTGAAAACACTCTTTTCAACTTTTTTTAAGCCAAAAGCTGAAAAGTGCTTTTTTTAAGCAAACCCAAACACTCCTTAAATAAAAGTTGATAGTGTTTGAGAAAAAAGTGATTTTGAAAAGTAAAAGTGGGCAGTGTTTGGTAAAATAAGTGCTTTTTGTGTAATAGAAAAAGTAAAAGCACTTTTGAGTTTTGACGCGGAAGCCGAAAAAAATTAAAGTTGCAGTGTTTGGGAAAATAAGTGCTTTTTTAAAGCCAAAAGCTGAGAAGTGATTTTTTAAAAGCAGTTGCAAACCAACCCTAAGGGAATCAAACCCTTGACATCACATAGAGCAATTGGTTCCAGTACCAACTCAACTAAATGGTTTTTATTAAATAATATGGCTCCAAACATCTTTATACGAAGTATTTCAACCCCCTCCGCCATACACTTACTTTTAAATATAAATAAATAAATTTGTGATTATAACTACAAGTATTTTTTATTCATGTTAGTATAGGAGTATTATACTAATAATAAACTACGAAGTATTTGTGAAAGGTTCAAAACATATTTCAATATTATTTCAATATTAATTTACTCCCTACGTCCCTTAAAACTTTGCTAACTTTCCTTTTTTCGATGTCCCACTAACTTTGACACTTTCTCTTTTTAGTAAAGAATTTGTGGTTCCAGTAATTCCCTCTCCTCTCTACAAACCTCAACCACACAGTTTTTACTTTATAAATCTCCGTGCCGGTCAAACTTGGCAAAGTTTTAAGGGAGGGAGATAGTATAATTTTAAGTCTAGTCTAATCTGTTTAAGTTTGGTATGGTAAATGTCTGCCCTCTTTGTATTTTATAATTACGGAAGTCTGGTCTGATATGTTAAAAACCGATCTGGTCTGATCTCTTTAAGTTTAGTTTGGTCTGGTTTGTGACTCGAAACAATACTAAGTAAAAACATATCATATTGTTTATCTTCCCAAACTAGAACTAAAGTATACTCTATATTTCAATTCTACCCCTTACTATACACTAGTGGAAAAACGTCAAATAGAGGCGCTTCATTTGAGGCGCTTTTAGCACAAGCGCCTCTGTTAGCCGATGTATTAATTTTTTTATTTTTTTTGAATGTGTGCGGCGTTTTTGGGTGAAAAACGCCTCCATTTTGTTTCTGAAACAGTTTTTTTAAAAAAAAATAATGTACCGTGCGGCGCTTTCTTCTAATAAGCGCCTCCATTTTGATTCCCGATTTGT